GATTCTTCAGTTTCTTGATTATTCCATTGTGGATTGTTAGACCAAACTTTTTTTTTCCTTTGAGTCTTTACAGATCTCATTTAGGAGGCTTTACAGTGTTGTAGGGCTTGATGCAGTTAGCACAAAGATGTATAAATATATGTATATATTTTAAAAAATAAAATATTTACATAATTGCATAATGTATTTATCATGGGTAGTCATTGCAGGTGGACAATTGGGAGGCCGTATAATGTTTATAATGAGCCATAAACTTCTGTCTGAAACAGAGTCCCATCCTTTTAGAGTTAACATTCTTCTGGTAATGCTATGTTGCTCTGTATGGTATTATAGTATCTTAAGGATTAAAGGTACAGGTCACCTAAAGGGTAATGAGGAGACTCATGAAACATAGGAGTAGCCTACAGCATATTACCGATGAAGAATTGCACAGGAGAAAGGATATAAAAAGTAAGATCAAGGGAGAAGGGAATAAGCTTTTATTAAGTGCCTAGTATGTGCCAGGCAGGTGGCTAGGTGGTGTAGTGGATGGAATGCCAGGACTGCAGTCAGGAAGACTCATCTTCCTGAGTTCAAATTCAGCCTCAGACACTTCCTAACTGTGTGACCCTAGGCAAGTCATTTAACCCTCAGTTTCCTCATCTGCAAAATGAGCTGGAGAAGGAAATGACAAACCATTCCAGTATCTTTGCCAAGAAAACCCTAAATGGGGTCATGAAGAGTTGGACACAAATGAACTACAACATCAACAAATAGGCCAGACACTGTGTTAAACACTTTACAAATACCTTATTTGATCCTCAAAACAACTCTGGGAGGTGGGTGCTATTATTATCCCTACTTCTTTTATTTTTACAGTTGAGGTCATTGAGATAGATGGGGTAAGTGACTTAACCAGGCTAACATAGTTAGAAAGTGCTGTCGGTTACATTTGCACTCAATTCTTCCTGACTCCAGGCCCAGCACTCTATCCACTGCACCCCCTGGAGGCCTCTGTATGGAGTACTTTTGCTCAGGTTGGCGTTGGACTAGGTTTTTGACGTCCCTTCCAATTCTGAGATTCCATGGTATTCATTATGAATAGAACTTATGGCAAGGCAGATTTTAGCTCCAGGTTAGGAAAAACCACAGTTAAACGCATCAAAAATGGTGTTAGCTGCTTTGTAAGGTGGCACCAGATTTCTCATTGGAAATCTTTGAGCAGAATTTCTATGGCCACTTGTGGAGGATATGGTACAAAGGATAATTTTCAAAGTACAAGTTTTACTAAATTACTTTTGAGACATCTACAAACTCTGAGATTTTTTGTTTGTTCTTTGGTTTTAGGCAATTGGGGTTAAATGACTTGCCCAAGGTCACACAGCTAGTAAGTGTCAAGTGTTTGGTCTGAGGCCGGATTTGAACCCAGGTCCTCCTGACTTCAGGACCAGCTCTCTATCCACTGTGCGGGCAACCTAGCTGCCCCCCAAACTCTGAGATTCTATGATTCTAATTTGAAGAACAAAGGCCTCTATGTCAAAAAGATTAGCACTTAAAATGACCAAGGTTAAAGAATCACTAACAATACATTAGAACCTTCAGAACCTAAAAGTTTAACAAGAGAAAGAGAAAAGGAAAAACTCAGGTGGAAAATGGGTAGGGCAGGCTAATCACAAGGCCAAGTTCCTATCTTTGATAAGGAGGAAGTCCAAATTAAAATAATCTTTGTAATTATTGACATAAGACAAAAGAGCTTTGTTTGGAGTGTGGCTATATTAAGGTTGAGTTAATAATAAAAATAAGAAAGTGTGTATTTCCTTCCAATAGACAGAATTAACCATTGTCCCAAATGCCGTTGGACTAAACTTACTGATCAAATATAAAAGAGTCACAGAATGGTTCAAGAAGAATAATCCAAAGTGGAGCATTGAAGAAATTACCTGTTAAATCTATGGATAGGGGAAGAGTTCATGAGACAGAGAAGTTTACAGGAGATAAAATGGATATCTTTGGTTTCATAAAATTAAAAACTTTTTGCACATACAAAATCAATGCAGATAAAATTAGAATAAAAGCAGGAAACTGGGAAAATCTTTCCAACAAACTTCTCTCATAAAAATCTCATTTCATATATCTATCTATCTATCTGTCTATCTATCTATCTATCTATAGATATACACATATGTATATGTACATATGTATATATGTGTGTATGTATATGTATATATGGAACTGAATCAAATTTACAAGAGGAACCATTCCAACCAAATGATAAATGGTCAAAGAATATGTATAGGCAGTTTCAGAGGAAGAAATTAAAGATGTAATGGTTTTATAAAAAAAAAGTGCTCTAAACTGCTAATAATTAGAGAAATGCAAATTAAAATAATTCTGAGGCATCACCTCACTCCCATCATATTGACTAAGATGACAAAACAGGAAAATAACAAATACTGGATGGGATGTTGGAAAATAAGTACACTAATATGGAGCTGTGAACTAGTCCAACCATTCTGGAAAGCAATTTGGAACTATGCCCAAAAAGCTATTAAACTGGGCATACCCTTTGACCTAGCAATACCACTACTAGGTCTATACACCAAAGAGATCAAAGAAAGAGGAAAAGGACCCATATGTACAAAGATCTTTATAGTAGCTTTTTTGTTGTGGCAAAGAATTGGAAACAGAGGAGATGCCCATCAAATGGGGAGTAGCTGAACAAAATGTGGCATATGAATGTGATTGAATACTATTATGCTGTAAGAAATGGTGAAGGGGGTGGTTTCAGAAAAACCTAAGAAGAGATGTATGAACTAATGCAAAGTAAAATGAGCAGAACCAGGAGAACAATTTATATAGTAGCAGTAGTATTATAAAGATAATCAGTTTTGAAGGTGTTAGTTACTCTGATCAACACAATGACCAACCATAATTCCAAAGGATTCATGATGAAACACTATCCATCTCCAGGTAGAGACTCAAAATGCGTATTGAGGCACTTTTTCTTCTATTTCTTTCTTTTTTGGGGGAGGAGGTTGTGGCCAATGAGGACATTTGTTTTGCATGACTACACATGTTTATAATGGGTTCTATTTTTCTTGCCTTCTCCATAGGTGGAAGAGAGAGAAAGAATTTGGAAATGAAAATAAAATAAAATTGAATTATAAAAAGTAGAATCCAATAATATACTGCCTACAAGAGTCACATTCAATCTAGAAAGATCTATATAAATTAAAAATGAAACAGGGAGAAAATTTACTATGCTAATGTCAAATCCTGGAAAGCAGGTATGGCACTAATGACTTTCCACAAAATACAATTCAAACTTGAAAGTATTAAGACATTGTGCTTAAAAGGTGATAGAATCATATATATATATATACATACATACATACATATATACACATACATATATGTATGCACATATATATGCACATATAAATGCAGCTAATAATCTTGAAGCAAAAATTAATAAAGGAAAACCTCATAGCTCTGTAAAAGAAATAGATTAAAAGATAATAATAAATGGAAAAAATTAACAATCCATCATCAGCATAAGAAATCCAACAAAAAAAAGATAAAAAAAGAAATTAAAGAACTAAAGAATTAAATAAGTTTCATATCTATGTAGAGAGAACTTATTGGGGAAAACAAATAACACCCTTTTTTGCAAGGCCACACAGTAAACATACAGAAACATAGAAAAGCAGAAATTCTGTGTAGTACATTTATAGAATATAGTTCAAAAAAAGTAGTAATTAATAATTATGTTATGAATAAAAGGTATAAGCCCCTATACAAATTAAAACTTACATTAAATGGGCAGCTAGGTGGCGCAGTGGATAGAGCACCAGCCCTGAAGTCAGGAGGACCTGAGTTCAAATGTGGCCTCAGACCAAACACTTGACACTTACTAGTTGTGTGACCCTGGGCAAGTCACTTAACCCCAACTGCCAAAAAAAAAAATTACATTAAAGAATGATTTCATAAAAATGAAAATTATGTAATGTTAGATTATATAAAATATTATAATACATAAAATATTATGATAATACATATCAAAACCTGTGGGATACAGCCAAAGCAGTACTCAGAGGCAAAGTCATAGTACAGAATGGGCACCTAAAACATTAGAACAGGAACAAAGCAACAAACCAGTAGAAAATAAAAGAAAAATGACTGTTAAAACAGAGATAAAATAGTGAAAATAATTAAAAAATAAAATAACTAAATCTAAAAGCTACTTTAAAGACTAACAAAATTTAAAAACAATGAATAAATCTAATTTTAAAAAGATAAAAATAAACCTATATCACCAAAATTCAAAATGAAAAAGAGATCACAAGGGAAAAATAAATCAGCAATTACTATAAATTTGTTATATAGTCATTTCAGTCATGTCTAACTCTTCTTGACTCCATTTGGGGTTTTCTTGGCAAAGATATGGAAGTGGTTTGCCATTTCCTTCTCCAGCAATCACTATACATAGCCCTGTGCTAATAAATGTAAGACTCTAAAAGAAATTGATAACTCTCTACAAAAGTAAATACAAAATATCAAAAATGGATTACCTCAACAGACCTATCTAGGAGAAATCAGATAATTAAAATACTACCTTGCAAAAAGGCTATGCCCAGACAGATTAGAAAAGCACATACCTCCAAACATTTAAAGTGCTTTGCAAACCTTAAAGCACTGTAAAAATGCTAGTATTATTCTCAGGCAAATATAATATTGACCAGTAAATAGAACATAAGAAAGTTAAGAAAAAATTATCAACCCATATTTGACCAACCAATTTGTATTTTATTTATAAAGATACTAAATAAAATACTTACAAATAAAATATAGCAATGCAAACAAAATTACTCATTACAATTAAGTAGGATTCATCAATCAAATGCAAGGACAGAACATAATAACAATATACTACAACAACAACTATAACCAGTATTCATAGAGGCTCTAGGTTTTGCAAAGAATTTTACATACACTATATCATTTGATTCTGGGAACAACTCTGGGAGGCAAATGCTCAAAAATATTATTATCCACACATGGACAAAGAAGTTGAGGCTCACAGAGCTTAAGTAAATGATTTGCCCAGGGTCATACAGCTAGCTACTAAGTGCCTAAGTCAGGATTTGGAATTTGCCCTTTTCAATATAATAAATTCTGTCAATTCTCTCTGCAGAGAAAGCCCTGAGAAAATGCAGCACTTATTTACATCTAAGAAAAGTTTTAAAACAGACATGAAGCCAGGGTTGAACTGGCCTAAGGGGACCATCTGGAAACTGTACAGAGCTGCCTTCCTTGCTTCCAGCCCACCAAGTGTGTAACTCAGCACTTGGGGGTATCAGAGCTGTCCAGCTGCCTGGCTGCTTCCTGTCATCGGGTAACTTGAAGCTGAAATGACTAGGTGGTTTGATATATAACACAACAAACCGTGAGCGGCCCCTTGTTCCTCTGCTGCCCTGTGCTCTCTGTCGTTAGACTTCCCTTGAGAGGGTCAGGAATGGATATAGGACTCTTTTCTCTCCCTTACACCACGGCTGTTTCCGCTTGAAGTGTGGACTCAACTAGCTGGGCTTGCTCATGGGTCCCTTGCTGTCTTTTCCTCCTTTGTGTTTTCTTTCCTGAGTGGGGGACTGAACATCATTCTGAGCGGGACCTGTCTAGACTTGGAGGTGACCTCATGAGTTTGAGAAACCCTGGGGCTGCTGAGTGCAACTGATGAGTAGCCAAGAGAGTTTCTTCTTTGGAGAAGATGAGCAACAGAAGGAGGGTGCCTCAGAGTTGGTTAGATTGGGGGTTACCAACCTTTTTGGTCTCAGGACCACTTTACATTTAAAACTTACCAAGTTAAAATATTTATTAATTCATTTAAAAATAACAATAATAAACCAATTACATCTTAACATAAATAACATATTTTTATGAAAAATAACTGATTTTCCAAAACAAAAATAACATAGTGAGAAGAATGGTATTGTTTTACATGTTTTTTTAAAATCTCTTTAATGCCCGGCTTAATAAAAGATAGCTTGATTTTTTTCTGTTGAAGTATATGAAGAAAACCTAGCCTCACATAGATATGCAGTTGGAAAAGGGAGGTGTATTGTAATAGGTAAATAACATCTAAGTATTATTATGAAGGGCAACTAGGTGGCACGGTGGGTAGAGTGCCAGGCCTGGAGTCAGGAAGACTCATCTTACTAGTTGTGTGACTCTGGGCAAGTCACTTTACCCTGTTTGCCTCAGTTTCCTGTAAAATGAGCTGGAGAAGGAAATGGCAAACCATTCCAGTTCTTTGCTTAGAAAACCCCAAGTAGGGTCATGAAGATTTGGACGTGACTGAACAACAAATTATTATGAAAAATTTTTAACCTCCCAGACCTCCTGAAAGCAACATGGGGACCCCTAGGGTTCACAAACCACACTTTGAGGACCACTGGTTTAGACAGTGGAGAAGTGGGATGAGATGAGGACATCTCTATTTGACTCCCACAAAAACTGCTTCATGTTCCTGTGCTTATGATTTAATCTCCCAGCAGAGATTATAAGTAATACTAACAATTAGTTACATCTTATCAATGCATGCTGTGAGTCCTTTGTGGCTTTCATAATTCCTGTAGTGTATAGGAGAGAAATACCTGCCTGATAGCTGATTTATATTATATATCGAGAAACTTTCCACTCTGCTCTTTGGAGAGACTCTAGGCAGGAGCTACAATGTAAGACTTGAGCTGTTCCCCCCTCCCCAGGTTTACAGGCAGAGGGGATAGTGAGCTGAGGAATGTAAAAAGAGGAAACTTAACCCTTCTTGTTAGAGGCCAGGCCCCCCCCCGGATTGGATCCTCTCCCCATCATGCATGGGTCCAAGATGGAGAAGCTCCTTAATGGACAATGGAGTGGACACAATGCCCCTAGACCCTTTGGTCCCTCACTGATTCTTACCATTGGAGTAGAATAGAAGAATTTTTTTCCATGATATGATAGTGCATATATTTGAAACCACAAACTCTAATACATATTACAAGAAACACTAGAAGCATTGCTATTCAAAATGGAGGTTAAATAGGTATAGCTTCTTTCACTACTTATATCCTATATAGTTTTACAAGTCTTAGCAATAGAGAAGTTCAAATGTTTCTGTTTGTAAGTGACATTACTAAAAATCTGGGAAATCCAATATTGTCAACAAAAATTAAGTACCCCATTTTTAAAAAGTGTGGCTTTATCAGATACTACTGGCCTTCTTCCTGCTCCGCAAACAGGACATGCCATCTCTTCCTTCTGGGCATATTCTTTGACTGTTCCCCAAGCCTGGAATGCTCTGCTTTCTCATCTGCTCCTCCTGGCTTCCCTGGCTTTTTAACTTCCATCTAAAATCCCATCTTCAAGTCTGATCATGACCCCATTCGGAGTTTTCTTGGCAAGGATACTGGAGTAGTTTGCCATTTCCTTCTCCAGCTCATTTTACAGATGAGGAAACCAAGGCAAACAGGGTGAAGTGACTTGCCCAGGGGCATACAGCTTATAAGCCTCTAAATTGGAATTTAAACCATAGTCTTCCTAGCTCCAAGTCGGATGCTTTTAGATAGAGGTGCTATGTCTCTCGCTGCCTCTCAAATTAAAATGGAAAGGCAAGGAACAGCTTAGGAAAACATTTGGAATAAATATATCTAATAAAGATCTGATATCCAGAATCTGCAAGGAGCAGATCCATATCTTTTTGTTGTTGCTGCTGTGCTGCCAGATCTACAATTTCAATTCCCTCCAGAAACAGAAACAGGCAACTTGTCTGTAGTCAAAAATCTTAGAGCAGCCTGTGGCACTGAGAGCTTAAGTGGCCTGTTCCTAACCACACAATTAACATGGGTCGGAGAAGAGCTTGAATGCATGTTCCTGACACCAAGGATGTCTCTCTATCCACTAGAGCTCACTGCCTCTTAATGCACATATATTTATGAGAATAATAATATACATTGCCCAATGGAACAATGGTTAAGGGACATAAAAGGCCATTTATAAAGGATCATTTAAAAGTTGTTAATAACCACATGAAAAGATTTATGAGTGAAAATGGATTTATTAAGCACTTATTGGGCTCCAGACCTGTAATAATCAGAGAAATACAAATCGACAACCATAAGTGCCTCTTAAAGTTTAAAAAAAAGGATATTTTAATTTCATAACAACTAAAATGATATTTTTTTTAATCTAGTGTTGGTAGGACTGCCAGGAAATAGGACATTAAATTGTACAAACCCTCTACCCAGCAATACCTCTGCTAGGAAAATACTCCAAAGAGATGAAGGAGGGAAAGGTCCCAAATGTACAAAAAATATTTGTAACAGTGTTTCTTGTTTCTATTGCAACAAAGTATGGAAATTGAAGGGGTGCTAAAAAATTGGGGAATAATTGAACAAAACAATAATACATGAACATCATGCCATGTGATATAAGGGACAAATTCACAGAAACCTGGGAAGAATTGTATGAACTGATGCAGAGTGAAGTGAGCAGAACCAGGAGAAAAATTTACACAATTTTATACATTCTAAAGGAAAAGACTTGAGAACTCTGATCAACGTAGTAACCAACAACAATGCCAGAGGACCACTGATGAATCATATCACCCACCTGCTAACAGAGAGGTAATGGATTAAAGGTGCAGAATTATATGCATGTGTATATATACATACATACATATATATATATATATGTGTGTGTGTGTATATATATATATATATGTATATATATATATATATATATATATATATATATATATATATATATATATGTCATGTTAATGTGGGATTTTTTTTTTGCTTGATTGTGCCAAAAACAAATTATTTTTCTTTCATGGTAATGAGGAAATTAGAGAGGGAAAGAGAGTGAGTTATAGTGATACCATGAAAGAAAACAGGGTCATTGAAACATTTAAACAAAATATACAGATGACATTAGAAGGATGTTCAGAGAGAGACAATGATACCTTTACAACATGTTGGATTTATTATGTTTTTTAAAAGCAAACTATACATAATAGTGATTTATAGTTTCATACACAATCCTCTATTCTGTGCTTTTGTATAGAAATATTCATATTCATTGGTATTTATAAAATTCAGAATAACAAAAAACTAAAAATTATTTCAAACAAGCAAGTTATTTGTAATTGAGATTTCATGGTGTCACATTCAACTCTCTCTTTTGGTTCTTCTTTGTGTGAGATGTTCATGTTTGTTCATGTTTATTGAGTTTGGAATAATAATTTTTTTAAAGGAAAATCATTTCTGGTCGCTGTGTGAAGGATGAATTGGAGTGTCAAGAGGCTTGAGAAAGGAACACCAAATAAGAGGCTGTTGTAAAAGTGCTAGACAGAGGTAATAAAGACCTGAATTAAGGAGGTAGCTGGCAAGTAGAAAGAAAGGAGAGATGGGAGAGATGTTGTGGAGATAAACAACAGGAACAACAAGCTTAACAACTGTGTGTGTGTGTATATATATACACACATGTATACATATAGACATACACACACATGTGTGTGTGTTTGTGTGTGTATAGTCAATGATGACACCAAAACTGGAAACATGGACACCTGAAAGCATCTTGGTGTCCACATAAGAAACAGGAAATTCTAGAACAGGGATGGGTTTGGAGAGAAGCGTAATGTAATGAAATCTTGGGGCACATTGCATGCCCTCCACGTCTCATCCTGTGTTCCTCACTCTTTCCCGTTAAAAAATGAAAAGGTGTTTGGGAGGAACCCCTTAGCCAGCCGCTGCCCCGGGTCACAAAGCTTCTTTCCTGAAGGACTTCTGTCACAGCCATTAGTTCATCTGGGGTGGGTTTAGGAGGGGGCAGGATATGGACACATGAAGCAAGATGAGGGAGTCTGGTTGGCTTGTGACAGGGTGAAGGATGGAGGAGTGTGCCTGTTTCTTAGAACCCCAAAAGTCAAAGCTGCCAATGGAAGGCCAGAGGTGGATGTGAGTGAAGTTTAGAAGCATCAAGCAATAAGGGGTACATAGGGTGATGTAACAATGTTGGAGATGAAATGTGTAAATTGAAGGTGAACTGAGAGGGAAGGCACTATTAGCAGGGTGATGGAAAAGATGTTGTTTAGGCCTGAATTGGCAGAAAGGAGCTGTGGGGAGGGAGGATAATAGAAAGGGATTCTAACTTTAGGGTAATTCTCATTGAGACTAAATTAATGCTACTATTGGGGCAGCTAGGTGGCACAGTGGAGAGAGTGCTGGGCCTGGGATCAGGAAGACTCATCTTCCTGAGTTCAGTTCTGGTCTCAGACACTTAACTAGCTCTGTGACCCTAGGCAAGTCACTTAACCCAATTTGCCTCAGTTTCCTCATCTGTAAAATGAGCTGGAGAAGGAAATGGCAAACCACTCCAGTATCTTTGCTAAGAAACCCCAAATGGGGTGACCAAGAGTTGGATGTGACTGGAGTAACTGGACAACAGCAACGTCAGCGCAAAATCCATTTGCTTCCAATCTTTTTTTTTTTTGCCATTGAAATGCAAAAAGAAGAAAAAAATAAAGAGCTTTGTTCAGTAAGTAGGATTTGGGGGCTTCATAGCTTTAGATGGGATATACCTTTCTTTCAGTAGTTTCAATCAGGGTGAAAATCAGACTGTCTGCAATTGGTGCCTAGGTTCATATAGCTATAGCTATTTTTTTTAACTCAAGAATTTCTTCAGAGTCATGGGTCAAAACTGTGTTATGTTCAGTTTCAAAATTCTAAAGATGGAGTTTGCAGCTACCACAGGCTGATTAACCTCTCTTCCATGTCTCTGAATTCCCGGGTCACTCCTCAAGTAGCCTTGTGATTATGACTGTGTGCAAGTCATTTCTCTTTTTTGGGCCTCAGTTCACTCACATATAAAATGAGGGGGATGAGTAGATGACTTCACTGATCCCTTCCAATTAGAAATTCTTAAGATTAAAAACATCATCTTTAAGCAAAGTACTTTGTCTGATAGGCTGACTATGGTAAGCATAATTTTTTCTCTAAGCCACATGGGAAATTTTTTTTGCTTTTTTTTTTTTTGGTGAGGCAATCAAGGTTAAGTGACTTGCCCAGGGTCACACAGCTAGTAAGTATCATGTGTCTGAGGCCGAATTTGAGCTCAGGTCCTCCTGATTCCAAGGCCAGAGCTCCATCTCCTGCGCCACCTAGCTGCCCCTGGAAATTTTTTCTAAAAGATCATAACAAAGTTTCCAGATCAGTTTTTCCCTTCTTGACCTTTTACATGACATTTTTTGTTGTTCAGTTTTTTTAGTCTTGTCTGACTCTTTGTGACCCCATTTGGAGTTTTCTTGGCAAAGATACTAGAGTGGTTTACCATTTTCTTCTCCAGCTCATTTTACAGATGAGGGATTGAGGCAAACACGGTTACGTGACTTATCTAGGGTCACACAGCTAGTAAGTATCTGAGGCTAGACCTGAACTCAGGAAGAGACCTCCTGGCTGCAGGCCCAGGGCTCTATCCACTGAGCCACCTAGCGGCCCACACATGAGGTTAATATTTTCTATTTCCAGACTTTGTCCACTGCTGTAACTGAGGGCAGGTATAGTGGGATTCCTCTAGCTCTTTCAGTCCAGTGAAGTTTCCTGGAGATTGGGTCAAAAAAAAAAAAAGGAAAATTGAAGGAACTGAGGATATGTACCCTAGAGAATAGAAAACTTATTGAGGTGTGCCTTGTCACTCTGGAAGTTCCCTTCTGTGCCTGTGACCTTCTTAGCCTGGAACATCCCCTTTCTGGTCAGCCTTCTTACCCTGTAATAGCCCTTCGCTCCTATGCCTTGCTTCTCCCCTTAGTGACCCCTCCTGGGGTGTCCATTTTGAAGAAGAGCCTAAGACAGCCAACCTTCCCCCCTCTCCCAGCTCTGTTTCTGACTCTCCAGGCTGCTCCCACTGGAACCTTCCCCCTCCTCACACACATACAAGTCCCCTTTATGTGTCTTCTCTTATTAGAATGTAAGCTCTGTGAGGGCAAGGTGTGTCTTTCTTTTTACTTGAATTTGTATGCCTGGTACTTAACACAGTCTCTGGCATACATTGTTGTTGTTCGGTCGTTCGTTCATGTTCAACTCTTTATGACCCTGTATGGGGTTTTCTTGGCAAAGATACTGGAGTGGTTGGCCATTTCCTTCTCCAGTGGGTTAAGGCAAACAAAGGTTAAGTGACTTGTCCAGGTTCACATAACTAGTAAGGGTCTGAGGCGAGATTTGAATTAAGGTCTTCCTGACTCCAGACCCAGTGCTCTATCCACTGAGCCATCTAGCTGCCTCTTACATGGCATACAGTAAGCACTTAATAAATGCTTATTGACTAGACATGAGTGGTCACACTATTTGGCTGCAAGTGCTTGAAAAGCTGTCATGTGTAAGAAAAATTAAATTTGGTTTGCTTGGTCCCAGAGGTCAAAATAGGAACAAATGGGTAGAGGTTTCTCAGAGACAGATTTTATATGATTGTGATTATAATTTAATCTAGTTCAACAATATTTATTAAGCACCTACCAAGTACATGGCTCTGTGTAAGGCATGGGTGGAATACCATGGCAAAAACAAAAAGTCCCTGCCTTCAAGGTGGTTGTTGTTATGGTGGTGGTGGTGGTGGTGGTGGTGGTTCCTCCCTTGTCTTCAAAGAGGACCAATGACATCACAAGGATGATGCCTTGACTTGCACGTGAATTGGATTGAAGTGAGGCAGAGTTGCACAAAGTGATCAGCCTCACTCTCTCCTTCAGAGGTATCAAAGTCCAATGACAAGACAGAAGTCAGGATGACTGGTGATGGTCCAGAATGCAGTGGATCACCTTGGCTCTTCCATGTCTGACCAAGCCCTAAGCACTCCATAATGCCTGCTTCAGTTTCCTTCCTGGCCGTTGGAACAAATTGTTCTCATCTGCCCATACTGCTGGTTGCTTCTAAAAATTAAGACCACCTATGGAGAGTGAGTTCTTTGTTACTGGTGGTCTTCAATCAGAGACCATATGATCACACTGCTTCAGGCATAAGTTGGACCAGATGACCTTTAGGGGCTCTTCAAACTCTGAGAAGCCATGAATTTATTTGTGGAAACTCTGGGCTAAAGGACATTCTCTTTTTTGTATTTTTTATGTTACATGTGTCAGAATCCAGGTCAGAAGTGTCTTAAGGTTTTTGTAAGATGAATTCAAGCACAGTTCAGGAAAAGGTAATCCTCACTAACCAAGACACAGATTATAGAATTTCCCTTTCAACCTCAGCTGATTCAAACACCAGAGTCCAAAGTAATTTTAGGTGCAACACGCTATAACTGACAAATCTAGTGGCCTTTGCTCAATCCTGATGTTCCTTGACCTCTCTGCAGCATTTGACACATGCTTCTTGACACCATCTCCCTTAGGTTTTCATGACACTACTCTCCTGGCTTTCCTCCTCTCTGTCCAACTGCTCCTTCTCAGTCTCTTTTGCTGTATCTTCAACCATGTCTAATCAGAAGTGGCCCCCAAGTCTCTGTCCTGGCCCCCCTTTTCTTTTTACTCTATACCCTTTCATTTGGCAGTCTTATGAGCTCTCATGAGTTCAGTTCTCATCCCTACATAGATGATTCTTCGATCTAGTATCTCTGCTGAGCTATAGTCACACATCTAACAACTGCCTGTAGGATGTCTCAGACTGGATGGTCTGTAAGCATTTCAAAATCACCATATCCAAAACAGAACTTGTTATCTTCCTCCTCCCTCTAATACTCCCCAATTCTGAACTTCTCAATCACTGTTTGAGGAACCATCAACCTCTCAGTCACCTAGGTTTGCCACTTCAATGTCATCCTCACCTCCTCACTTTCATTCACCCCACACATCTAATATATTGCCATGGCTTGTCATTTCTGCTTTCATGACATATCCCAAATACATCCCCCTGTCTTAACTCATACAGACTCAACCCTTGTCTAAACCTTCTGCATCTCTCACCTAGATTACTACAATAGCCTTCTAACTGGTCTCACTGTCTCAACTCTCTTCCCGTTCCTCCGCTCAACTGCCATAATGATTTTTCTAAAGTTATAGGTCTGATCAGGTCACCCCTTTCACAAACACACAGCACACACACACACACACACACACAATCTCAATGAGCCCCAGCAGCTTCCCATTACCTCAAGGATCTAACATAAAAAGCTGTTTATAACCTTAACCCTCCCTACTGTTCCAATTTGGATACACTTTACTCCCGTCTACAACTCTACGATCCAGCCATGTGCACTGCTCTCTTTGTAGTTCCTTAAATAGGACACCTTTGAACCGGCTACTTGCTCCCCATGCCTAGAATACTCTGTCCACTCACTCCCCTCTTAATTGCCCTAAGATAACTTAGCTCAAATCCCACCTTCTGCAGGAAGTTATTCCTGGTTCTCCCTAGTACCTGCTTTTCAGATTACCTTAATTTATTCTGTATATAACTTGTATATTGGACAGTTAGGTGGCTCAGTGGATAGAGCATTAGGCCTACAGTCAAGAAGACCTGAGTTCAAATCTAGCCTCAGACACTACGTAGCTGTGTGACCCTCAGCAAGTTACTTTACCCTGTTTGCCTCAGTTTCCTCATCTGTAAAATGAGCTGGGGAAGGAAATGGCAAACCACTCCAGTATCTTTGCTAAGAAAACCCCAAATAAGGGTCACAAAGAGTCAGAAATTACTAAACAACAACAATATCTTGTATATGCCTAGATACTTACACATTATATCCCACATAAGCCACATGGTTTTTATGATAAGGTTTTCTTTTTCCTCTATCTGGATTCCTAGTACATAGCACAGTTCATGGCACTTGATAATTGTTTAACAAAAGCTTGTTTTTACTTTTTAGTTTTTAATATTTAAGTAGACAAGACTATACAGAGGGCTGATGATGACCTATATGGATTCAGCTTTCTGGTGTTGTGGATTTTCATGGATCACAGAGCCAGAGCTGGAAGACACTTTAGGGACCATTAGTCCAAACCACTCACTTAGCAGACGAGGAAACTGATGCTTAGGGAGGTTCAGTAACTTCTCCAAGGTCACGCAGTACAGAGGTGAAATCTGAACTCAGGTCCTCTGGATCTAGATTCAATGCTTTTTCCATTATATCACGTTGCCTTTTTAAATTAATATTTTCATGCTCAGTCCAGGTTAAGTATTTTTTAAAACTGAAGATAATTTCATCATTTGGCCTGCTCTGAAAGTTGTATAATAGCCTTTGGCCAAAAATATTACAGTTCTGATGGGATGGGGGAAGATTCTGAATCATTTTCCCCAAGTTATTCCTTACTTCTTCCTAAACACTCCCACACATCTCTCAAAGCCTCTCAGAATTAGCTCAGCCAAGACTACTTCGAGTCATTGATCCCATGGAAAGCAAGTAAGGAGGCCACATTTGGTCCAGATGAGAGTCACAGCCCCAGTGAGGAGGCAGGGTGAGGAGAAGGATGATGCTATTAGACTGTAAGCTCATGCTAGGGTTAGCAACCTTGTTTTTTATTCACCTTTGTTTCCCTCACAATACCAAGTAGCACCTGATCCATGGGGATGAAAACAAAGCCTTACTGAGTCTCAGTTTTTCCTAACATGGTTGAGCTGGTAAAATATTAAATGTATCCCTCCTCCTGGGCACTGGATTGTTTTTTCCCCCAGTTTTTCCCTATGATAATGTCTTTTGCCTTTTAGTTTTACATCACAGTCATTTCCGGATATCTATCCTCATTAAGCCAGTAAGCTTTCCCTTGTAAAAAAAAAAAACTTTTAAGTGAGCAAAACCAACTGTACAAGCTTGCTGTACATGAACCACCTGACAGTGTGTACAGTGTTCCACACTCTAGTCCCCTACCTCTCTGCTTAGAGAAGGGAGCTATATATCCTTATCTCTTCTGGAGCCAAGACTGGTCATTATAATTACACAACATCTGGCTTAATTGTTCTGTTCATTTGAGCTACTGTAGTATTATGGGGATTGTTTTCTGGTCTTAATCACTTCATTCTGTGTTTCACTCCTTATGTCTTCTCATATTTTTCTAAATTTGTTGTTGCTTACTGTTCAATAACATTCTATTACATTCATATACATATTAAATATTGGCATGTATTATATTATGTGATATAGAATACCATGTAATTCATTAATATTATATAGTATTCTATATCATAGAACATAGTTTGTTTGGTCATTCCCCAGTAAAGGGGCACCCACCTTGTTTCCAGTCCTTTATAACCATAGCAACAGCTGCTATAAATATTTTGTTATCTATAGGACCTTTCCTTCTGCCTTTGATCTTGTTGGAGGGAGATGCCCAACAGTAGGTAAGAGAGGCAAAGGGTATGATCACCTTAGTGGTATGTGTGTGTGTGTGTGTGTGTGTGTGTGTGTGTGTGTGTGTGTGTGTGTGTGTGTGTGTGTGTAAGGGAGGTCTGGCCCATGTGCAGGCCTCATCAGCTTTGTCAGATGATGTTACCTCTTGACATAGAGAACATTGGGGAGCTTGCTTCCAGGAAAGTTGGGATGACCTGTAAGGGAAGTGCTTTGGAGAGACTACTGGGCATGCATGGATATTCTGTACCAGGTTTGGTCATATAGTAACATGTTGAAGAGGATGCTCTTTAACTGGCTTCAGAAGCATTCAGAAAAGCTGTCAGCTTCAGTCTTCTCTTCTTCAGTAGGTCTCAATAATTTTTTCCTCTCCCAGTGTCCAGTGGATGGCCATGCTGTAAGGCGACAGGCCTTAGGGCCTTCTCTCTTCTAAGGCCATGTTGCTCTGAGAAACAAACCTCAATCCTTAGCCTTTTCATTTATTCTTTTCCATTCTAGGTGAAGGAAGTGGAGTCTTCAACCTTGGGAGTTTCAAAAAGTCAGAAGAGTAAGCCATAGGAACTCAGAAGTTGGAATCCAGGATGGAATTTCTAGTCAGCAAAGCATCAATGCTCATAGGAACAAGAGATTCCCAGTCTTGTGTTGCTGAGAGGAGGACTCATCTGTCATCAATGTGCCTTTGTAACATGAACTTGGTGTGAACAATGCTAAGTAGAAAGTGAGATAAATATTGAGCCTAATCCTCCAGAAACAAGGTGGTTGGGGAGATTATGCTGAGTTGTTCTTTGTTCTTGCTATGTCTTCAAAGCAAATATCCCTTTGTAAAAGATAATCAAATGTTACATGATTAATGGAACTGGAGTGCTAATTACAAGCCTTACCTAGCTACCTAACAATGAGAGGAGTCTTCAGGGGAGGCTCAAGTTAATTAATGGTGATGGAGAAAAGACAGGTAACCCCTCAGGGTTACCCCCTTGAACCTTGACAGGCAGGTATAGCATCCTGACTCTAGGAAACTGGGTCAGAGCATACACATCGTTGTTCAGTTGTTTTAGTTGTGTCCAACTCTTCAGGGTTTTCTTGGCAAAGATACTGGAATGATTTGACTTTTCCTTCTCTAACTCATTTTACAGATGAGGAACTGAGGCAAACAGTTAAGTGACTTGCCCAGGGTCACACTGCTAGTAAATATCTGAGGCCAGACTTGAACTCAGAAGACGAGTCTTCCTGACTCCAGGCCACTGTGCCCCTATTCACATTATATTTGCATAATTCTGAATCGTTTTCCAGAATGATTGAACCAAAGTGTCTTTGTGCTAGACACTCGATTTCCAAGACCTTATCTGATGTTTTATGTAGACAGAGTTCAAAATACCCTTCAAAATAGGGAGCCCCCTTAACAGAAAGGTAACATCATTCAGTTCAGTTCATTTGGCATTTATTAAATGTCTGTTATGTATCACTTATATGTAGGGGTGAGGACCCAAAGACACGCCCCACCACCACCAAAAAAAAAAAAAAAGAAATTGTCTCTTACCCTCAAGGTGCGTACATATTCTAAATATGGTTAGAGTTTCAGGAGCACAAGCATTCTGAGTAGTAAAAGCCTACTTAACTCAGTGAACTGATTCCTTTGGAGTTTACCTTTCCTCACCCACGTTTATAAAACACCAATAATGAAGCAGCTTCCTACCTCCTGACAGAAAGATGAAGGACTCAGGATATTTTTTTAGACACAGGCAAAGTGGGAATTTGTTTTTCTTGAATATGCATATAGGTTTTTTTCTTTTTCTTTTTCTCATTTTGGGGGAGGAGGGAAGGAAAGAGAAAGAGAAGAGGATAGATTTTTTGCTCATTGAAAAAATATTTAATTTATAAAAGATTTTATCTTTTATCACTGTTTAAGTGAAAATGCTTGGCAAAAAAAAAAAAACCTCCCATAAAAATATTGACAAGGGAAAAGGGCAAAACTATTTAGTAAAGGAATGGTATAGCGAGAGGAGAAGCACACCAAGCAGTAAAAGATTAGCCAGAAAATCATAGGTCCCTTGTTAATAAGCCTAGGATTAAGGTTCAGCAGAAAGCAGAACTGAGAAAAAGGAGAAAAGTAAAGACTGAAACTGTTAATTCCACCTGACTGGTTGCATAATTTCCCGAGAGCTTGATTATAAAGAAGGTAGTAGTTCTATGCGAGGTCTAGATTTTTTTTGTTGGGGAAATAAAAAGAAAATGGGGGTGGGTAGATGGAGGAGCAGACTTTGGTTTACTAAGCAGGATGACTCAGAATATGATTATGTCCTCAGCTAATTATTTCCTAAAACGGTTGTGATGAGGATATTAGTCATTCCACAGAGGGCAGAGCAAATAGGTTGGAACAAAAGGCTTTTCCCTAGCACAACACAGTTATACTAGGAGAAAAAAACAAAAAACAAAAAAACAAAAACCTTCTGATGAAGCCCATATTTGAAGTCATTCTGCCACTGTGGATATGATGCTGGGAAGGACACTGAAACTACTCAGCCCACAGCTCCAGGAGGTCACTTCCTGTTGTGTTTTGAGACAGCTGTGAATTATGGGACAACAAAATCAAACATCTGGGGATTGTTATTGCTATGAGACTGACGTCATCCGCTGCCCAACAGAACCTTTCAATTCATCAAGGACATCTGGCTGCCCTGGAATCCTTCAAGACTGAGCTCAAATCCTAGGTTCTTCAGGAGGCCTCCTCAGCTTTTCCTAGTATCTTCCCTCGGAGAAGACCTTTCATTTACCCTGTATATATCTTGTACACATGTAGTTGTTTGCATGTTGTCTCCCTCTCCCCCTCAAAATTTAAACTTTTTGAGGGCAGGGACTTTTCTTGGCCTTTCTCTGTATCCCTTGTGTTTGTAACTCTGTTTGCCTCAGTTTCCTCATCTGAAAAATGAGCTGGAGAAGGAAATAGCAAACCACTTTAGAAGTTTTGCCAAGAAAACCCCAAATGGGTTGGACACAACTAAAACAACTCACCCATAATAGGTGCTTAATAAATATTTTTTGATAATGATAAGGATCTGAATTTACCCCTTCATATACCCATGTTGAACAAAGCATTACCTCTGAACTGTGAACTGGCATTAATCAGAACTGGAATTTCTATAGTTCTTAAAAGTTAACAAAGCCCTCTTCTCAGAAATAAGGGCCCTGTGAAGGCAGGAGGGCGTGCATTGTTACTCCCATTTTATACTTAATGGGAAGAAGAACTTTACTAAAAGAGGCTGCCAACTCATGCCCCACCCTCCCACCATTTCTGTTGCCTTTTTTTAGACTTATTGAAGCCTCAAGACAATTGATATGGCTGAACACTAGTGACCCTGTCAGCGGGACAAGAGTTAAAAGGTCAGATGGAAAGAAGCATGAGGGTTTATCCTCACACTCTGAAATACCGAGCTACAAGTGCTTTTTCTGAGGTGAGGCAAAAATGAAAGGAATTGTCTTACCTTCCCTCAACCAAGACTACGGGCTCTCCAGAAAAAAAAAATGTACGCAAAACACATTTTTAAGCCTCATTTGCATTATTGATGTTTTCTCCATCACTTTACTAAATATAGGCGACTAACAAAATAACAAATCAAGCTTTGATTTGTAGCATTTGCTGGTTTCCGAGGTGCAAATGCTCACACTGAAAATTTAACAGTCAGCTCTGGGAAGCCAGTGACATAGCTGAGGGCTATGAAGCTTCCACTAGAGCAGAGGATCCTTAACCTTATTTGTGCCATGGACCCCTTTGTTCAATTGTTTTTCAGTCGTGTCTGACTCTCCGTGACCCCATTTGGGGTTTTCTTGGCAAAGATACTGGAGTGGTTGGCCATTTCCTTCCTCAGCTCATTTTGCAGATGAGGAAATTGAGGCAAATAGGATGAAGTGACTTCCCCAGCATCTCACAGCTAGTAAGTGTTTGAGGCCAAGATTTGAACTCCAAATGATGAGACTTCCAGACCTGTCCCTCTATTCACTGTACCACCTAGTTGCTCCAAAATTTCAGTTACAGATTAATAAAAAATAAGGATGTAATTTTTTTTCCAATCTGAGTTCACAAACCCTCTGCAATCTATCCTTGACCCCCAAGTTAAGAATCCCTGATTTAGAGGTATAAAGGAAAAAAAAGAGGCTACAGCTGTCCTGGTGGCCCCAGAGGCCCAGTGTACACCAGCCAAGATGGACTTGTAAGGCTGGCGTACGAGATAACTGATGCTGAGTGATGGTGCTTGCAAGTCACTGACCAAATTCGTTCTCTCTCCCCTGCCAAACCTGCTCCTCATCCTAACTTTCCTATTTCTGTCAAGGATACCACCACCCTTCTAATCACCCAGGTATGACCTCTACATTATCCTTGGCTCCTCTATCTTTTCTACTCTGCATGTCCATTCAGTAGTCATGTCTTGTTTTCTACCTCTACCATCTCTCTCCCATACCTTCCTTTCTAATTTCTCACACAGCCCACCACCCTGGTTCAGGATGTCATCACCTCTCTCTTCCCTGGACTATTTTGATGACCTTCATAATTGGTCTTTCTACTACAAAATCACTCCCCTCCACACTCCATCCTCCACCCAGCTGCCTATAATTTTCCTAAAGTAAAGATCTGAGCATATTACTCCACTACTTAATAAACTCTAAAGCCTTTTTTAGGAAAGAAAAATTTAAAAATCAATTCCTCTGTTTGGCATTCAAAGTCCTTCACAACCAGGCTCCAGTTTCCCTTTCCATCTGTAGGGTTCCTATTGGAAAAAAGTCATAAAATACAGTAATAAGTGAAAAGTCATAAAAAACGTAAACTCTGTAAAAGGTGGACGACCTAACATAGTGACCTGTTAACAATCATAACTTAGACACTAAATCATAACTTGGATATTGAGTCTTAACTTAAGATACTATGACCTATGAAAGCCAAAACAAGAATATTGTGAGCTATATGTGACCATGATCAATATACAGACTTATATTTGGGCATAACATTGGCTTACCTCCCAAGCTCATTACTAAGCAGAAAATCAAAAATATCTAACAATCAGTAGGGATGCCTGCTATAGCTCCTCCTCCCTTTGTTTTCTGTAATTACCCCGGGGATTTTTGGGGTTCTTAGTGGGGATCCAGTGTCTGGCTGCTGCACCAAATCCAAGATTGCCCCTGTTTTGTAAGTATTCATAACGATTGATTAAACTGCTACCTATAATCAACCTAGAGATACTTGGCCTCTTCCTTTGGTATCAAAAGAAAACCCCACAATTATGGGGCAGGTACAGGGGTCCCCAGATAGGAGAATTCTGGACCTTATACCATCTTTATGCACTACTCTTCTGCCTGACCTTTATTATCCAACCAAATTGGCCCAGTTACTGTTCCTCACCTACGATCTGGCTTCTATTTCTGCCTTTGCGCTGCTTTTCATTCTTTCCTAACTTTGACTCTTAGAATTCTTTATTGTCTTCCAGACTCAGCTAAAGCACCATGTAAGCCCTTCCTGATCCTCTCAGCTCATAGTGGCCTCCCTTTATGTTATATGTATTCTGTATATATTTTTTAATGTATATGTCTCCCTGGACAGAATGTAAGCTCCTTGAGGGGCTGTTTCATTTTTGTCTTTGTATCCTAAATCCTAGTATAGTATCTGGTACATCAATCAATCAATAAGCATTTATTTAATACCTATTGTTATGTGCCAGACACCGTGCTAAGTTTTGGTGATGACAGTTCCTGTCTTCAGGGATCTTACAATCTAACAGAGAGACAACAGGCAAACAAATACGTACAAACGAGCTAGAGACAAGATGAATGAGAAATAATTAATGGAGGAGGGAATTAAGAGGAGTTGGAAAAGACTTCCTGTAAAATATTGGATTTCAGTTGGGACTTAAAGGAAGCTGGGACAGTCAGTATGCAGAGCTTAGGAAGGAGAGCATTGTAGTAGTCCGTAACACCTCACAAAGTCGTTCTGAGGAACAAATGAGATACCATATGTAAAGCATTTTGCAAACCTCAAAGCAGCAATATAAATGCTAGCTATTATTGTAATTATTATGATGGTGAATAGAAGTAGGCTGGAGCATA